CGTGCAGGCAGCAAACTCTGACTTGGTGTATCCGGGCACGCTGGACAGGGCTGTCCACTGCCTGCTCTTGGGGTGGTACAGGTCTGTGAAGGGCAGCTTCAGGAGGCCCTTCTTATCACAGCCCCCGATGACAACGATGACCTCTGCCAGCTCCATGAACCTGCACCAGGAAAGGCACAGGTGAGTCCCAGGCCAGGCCACTCCTTTCCAGCATCCCTCCCATCCTATTCAGGACATCCTAGGTAAGGCAGAGTCCTCTCCTGCTTCAGCTACTGATTTTCTGGGCAAATCATTCCACCCCTGCACCATCAGGTCAAAGGCACCTCTCAGCTTGGGTGGGAAAAGCTCCAAAGTGCACAGGGAAAGGAAATGGGAATGACCTCTACAAGCCCATAGTGACATTGGCTCCTGCCACTCACCCTCCCCCTTCCAGCACAGTCGAACCCGGTAATCCTCAGGAGTGTGGAAAGCCACTCCTGGCAGCCTGCCTGGGGTGAGCTTTCTGCCTGGAGAGAGAAGTGCTTCCAGGAAACCTCTCTCCCTTTCCAGCCCTAATAGCAGCGAGCAGACGAGACAGACGGCAGGGGAAGGCAAATCCTGCCAAGTAGGAGGTGGTGAGAAAAGAACTCTGTCTGCGAGAAGGGAGGGGACAGGAAGGAGGAGGATGAAAGAGGATTTGAAAGGCTTGGTCCAATCCTCAGCTCCTCCATGCTTTGTGCAGGATGAGACAATTCCCTACAGACCAAAGCTGCCTGGGCCAGCATCTCTTTACCTTCTGGTTGTTCATCAGTAAATCAATGGAAAGAAAAAACAGAATATTTTGGGCACGCCTAGGTGGGGACCAGGGCACTAATTACTTTTTTCCCCCTTGGATACCAACTCCTGCCCCTGCAGCCATACACCTTTGAGTGCTCTACCCTTTGGGGGAAGCAGATGGAAATAAAGAGCTAAAACACCCCTTTCTGCCCTTAGTCTGGACACCCCCCTGGATGGGATCATTGGACACTGCTGGGATTAGAGCACAATGAAAACAAAAAGCATCCCATGCACTAAATTCCACAGGAATCCTTTAAGGCAGGCAAACAACTCCAACGCTTCATTTCAGGAGCAAGGAGGCCAAAAGTGAGGCAACAGGTTGGGGGGGGGGGGAGGAAAAAAAAGAAAAAAACAACCCAAGAACCACAAAGTACAAGAACCATCAATCTATGAGATCCATCAGCTTGGTCCATGCTGGTCATGGACGCTGGGGCTGTTTTACCTCCGGGGCCTGGAGCGCAGGGAGCTGACCTCGTTCCCCAGGATGTAGCACTTGCGGGCCTCGTGCAGGAGGGGGATGCACTCCTTGGAGTCCTGGATGAGCCCATCCATCTCCACCTTCTCCAGGAAGTAGGTGGGGCTGAGCAGGGGCAGGCGCACGTGCTCCAGGAGCTCCCTCAGGGCCCCCTTCCTGGCGGGCACGTCGTGCCGCACCCAGCGCATCACGGCCTCGAACACCACCTCCTCCTTGGGCACCACCAGCTGCTCGTCACACAGGTACCCAACCAGCTCCTTCGCCCCCATCTCCAGGAACTCCTCGTGGCACGACACCTCCACGAAACACTCCAGCATGAACCTCCTGCTCTTCTCCGTCAGGGACGCGATGGAGAAGGAGTCAGCAAACTTCATGATGCCCAGGCAGTTGCATGGGTGCAGCTGGCCCTCCAGGAAGGTGACACAGGCATCCCTGAGCTTGGAGATCTGCAGCAGGTCAGACAGCTCCAGGATGCCCTCTACGTTGTCCTCCTGGATGACGATGTTCCCCCCGTACATATAATCCAGAAGGAGGGACATGGTGGGGGCAGAGATCTTCTGGATGTTAATGATGTCCTGGTGGCCTTCCTTGAGGTCACCGCCAAACATGGCCCTGAAGTAGGTGCTGTTGGCTGACAGGGTGGCCCGGTGGCAGGGGAACTCCTGCCCGTCGATCAGCAGCACCACATCGGTGAAGGTGCCGCTGTGCCGGTAGGAGTTGAGGGTCTGCAGGATTTGCTCGGCGTGGCAGGACCCGCTGCACAGCTTCGTGTGCAGCTTGTCCTTGCTGGGGTCCCGGGACGCATTTTCCAGGCTGCCTGTCCCGAAACTGGATTCTTCCTTCATCACTCGGTGCATCCTGCTCGGGAAGCAGGGCAGGGACAGGAGATCAGCACAGTGTTCAAACATCTGCCTGCAGTGCTCAACAACATCATGGTTCTGCACCTTCCTTACAGAATCCAGCCAAAATCTAGTCAGAGCCTGTCCCCTCACCCACACACAACTCCTCCTCAGCAATCGAAACTTCCTGCAAACCACAGCACCACAATGGGTACTGGGATATTCCCAATCCAGCCCCATCCTTGTAGGCAAACTGCTGCTTTTGGGAGAAGTTTCCTTTTAAGGCTGTTGCCTTGCCCAGCCTGTGCTACCACCTTTTTTTTTCTGATGTCTCCCACCTCTTCCTGATTTCCCCATCCTCTCAGGTGCTCCACAGCACAGCCCAGCCAAGAGCAATGCTGGATTTTGACTTTTCAGACCCATCCTGTTTCCCCAGATTGCAGGCAAAAATCCAGACTGTGACTCAGACTCGCCAAAGGTAGCTACGACACGACCTGCCCAAAACCCGCGGAGATGCTACATCTGACGTCCCTTTCTGCTTGATGTGGGCTCCAGATGATTTTTAACATTTCCTAAAGGACTTCAAGAAGTGATTGCAATGAAGCACAGCAGACAGCTCTCATTCAAGCTTCAGCAGTTCACAGCTCACACAGACAGCACAAGCAGCAGGACCCAGCCCTGAGCCAGAGTGGAGCTCCTGCTCAGAGCTTCTCCCCCAGCCAGGCATGTGTTACATTGCTTTTCTGAGGCTCTGTGACAGCAAAGAGCCCGTTTGGGGGGGGGCTCAGGCTCTGCTCTTAGTCGTTCCTCCCCCCTCCCCGAGCCAGGCTCTGGAGGATCACACCACAAGCCTCTGGCAGGACCACAAGTCCCCCCTGGGGTGACAAGTTACCAGAAAATCGGTGGCTTTGTGGTGTCCACGCCTTCCCTGCAGGAGGGCAGGGAGCACATGTCCCGGAGGGGAGATTACCTTGAATTTATTTTGAGTCCACCCCCTGTCTTAGCCCTAGTCCTTGCTGTGCTCCTACACCTGCATCTCCTGGGCAACCACGGCTGACCACGAACCCCAAAGTGCTCAGGTCCCCTCATCCAGAGGACACTTCCTGGCTGCACCTGCACCGTGGGACGACCAAACCTAGCCCTGAGGATCTTCACCCCACCACCCTGAGAAAGCATCAGTGTGCCCTTTCAGAACCCCCCGGCAGTGGCAAAACACCTTTGCCAGTGCCCCCAGGTTGCTGCAGGGACCTGAAGAGCAGCGAAGCAGCGTGACGAGCCCCACCTAAACACCTCAGAACCCCACCACCACCACCTTCCCCGGGACTGGGTGAAGGCTCCAAACACCCTGACGGGTGCTCGGGACCGCAGTTTAGTCAGTTCAAAGGGATTTAAAGAAGTTTCACCAAAGGCGGCTCCCCGGAGGTGCCTTTGCGAAGAGCTGGGGGCGCTCCGCGTTCTGCTGACACGCGGTCCCAGCCGAGAAAGAAGAACCGACCTATATCCCCGCTTTTCTCCCTGATCCACACACATTTCCAAGCCATCAGGGGCATGCACGGGGAAGGGACAGCTCAGGCCGAGCTCCTTGCAGAGAGACACCCCTCTCCCCTCGCAGTTAATCCAAATGCCCTTCCCCAACCCACATCCTCTCTGTCTACCCATGACACAATCGCTGCCAACTCCAAAGAGGAGTGTGTCTGCCCCGGTGCCCTCCCCCGGGTCACGTTCTGCCCTGGGTCACCCTCTCCATCCAAGTCCCACACAGCAGCAAATGCTGCTTTGGGGAGTCTTTTAGCAACCCCCCCCCCCAAAAAAAAAGCCCAGCGTTAAAGAGTCCAACGTTACCTGACACAAGTTGTGCTCTCCAGGTGGGACCCGGTGCAGACTCAACTTCCCTCCCGGAGATCCCCCATCCACGTTGGAGCCCTGCAGGGAGACGAGTCCCCTCGGCAAAGCTCAGCCCTTCTGCAGAAACGCTGGGAGGGGGGGAAGCACAAAAGCATCCCCTTTATCCTCCCTGGCGGAGAGGTGGGGGAGAAATCCGCTTTTGTTCCTCCTGAATGACATGCCAGGGAGCTACAGGGCATGAGCCGTGCAGCTGTCAGCGACAGCCAGGGAGGAGCCGGGACGCGGGGAAAAGCCAGCCCAGCTCAGGGAAAATACGGCACACAGGGCAGCTTAGGAGGGCCGAGCCATCTGGAGAGCAAATTGAGGGTCCAGGTGGAACGATTCATTTCATGGAGATTCCGTCTTGCTGGAAACGCCGCTAGAGCCCATAAATAAAATACGGCTGAAAGGAAGAGCAGAAAGACTCGTGGAGCGGGACCGGGCTGGGTCAGGGAGGAGCTGCATCCCCCTCATTAACGGGGGATAATTAGGTAATTATGGCCCCGAGGATGGTGAGGACAGAAGGGGAGCTTTTTGCCCCGTGTGGCTTTCGCACCCTCCCCCCTCTAACTCGATCCCAGTTGGGTGGATTTTTAAATGCTCATGGCAGGGATCACAAAGCAGCCCTGAGGAAGCTCCACAGAGTCCCCCTTGTGCCGAAGATTGTCACACCCCTAAGGTGGCACAGCCCAGCCTTCCTTCCCCTGCCCAGTCATCGCTTTGAACAACCTGTATTATTCTACACTAGACAAAAGAGAAATATTAATAAACCCATCCCCTGCGTGTTGTCATCGCAGTGAAACTGCCTTTCCATGTTTCCCGGCTGGATCCTTCCTGCCCCTCTCCCACTGCTGGGATGCAGGGCACAAGCTGGCATCCTGCTTGCTCCCAGCATTTGCATACGAATCCCTGGCAACCGGGAAGGGACTGTGGTTTCCCAGCCAGCACAGAGGGCTTGGAGGGTTGTGGGGTTTGCTCTCAGGATCTCCCACCCTGATGGAGTTGGCCCTACCAGGCTGGATGGAGCACGTGGATGGAAGCTGGAGATGACCAGGAGCAGGTCACTGGGAACAAAGGGAAAAGCCCTCTAAGATCATGGAATCCACCCGGCCATGGAGAGAGTCAGGACACCCTCCTTTTCCCCTCAGCCATCCAGCAGATGGGGAGTCACCAACCTCCAGGAGAAGAGACAAAGCACGAGAGACAAGAAAAGGAGGAAGGGCAGAGACATAACTAGAACAGAAATGGGGTCCAGAAGGAAGAGAGGGAGAAAATCAAGAGGCTTAAGAGGGAAAAAAAACCCCATCTTGGTTTCCTATTTCACATATGGTCAATACTCACATGGAACTTGAGATTTAGGAGATTCAGCCAAGAAGAGGTGGTTGCATCAAGAGTCCAGGAGAAGAGGCACCAGCCTTCAGCCTCGTGCTGCTGCTGCTCCCACCACGGCTAGGCTTTTCCTGCTCCCACTGGACTTCCACAGCTCCCAACCACCCCACCATGTTAAAGTTGGGGAGATCCTTCTTGTGGCAGCTGGGTAAGCCCTGGCCAGGGCCACATCAGCACCCCCTCCCAGACCCCAGGTCTGGCAAATTTAAAGGACTGGAAAGGTTCCCAGACGCCACAAGAACCACCCCAGCTGAACCACTAAGCTCCTATTTATGAGGGCAGTTTTAGAGAGGGGAAAAAAAAAAAGGGAAAAAAAAAAAAAAAAGAGTTAAATAGTACAATGTTGGCTGTCCCAAGGCCTTTGGGCTTTGGGCCAGCAACCAACCCTCAGCTCCTTTATTTGAGTGACAAACACACAAATGAGACAGGACTCTCATTTCTTCCCTTTCTACTTTCCCCTATCTTTCCCTAGGGTACAGCAGGGACAGCCCCCAGTCAGGGATTATTCAGCACTGTGGATATCAGGAGCTCTACCCCTTTCCCTAGGGCAGTTTTTACATGGAACACTCAATTATATTCCCAAAGCCACTTAAATTCATGGCACAGGACTGACTACCCATCACCAACCAGGGAGACAGTGCTGTCTTTACTTTAATCCCTTTCACTATCACTTAAGTGCAGCCACTCAGGGGCTGGAGAAAACAGCAGACTGAACAAAGAACAAGATCCCTCCTCATCCAAAGCACCCTCTGGGAGAGGATCCTGGGGTAAAAACCCCCCAAAACAGAGCAAGCACCAAGCAAGCCTTCCCCTTTACATCACACATTTAGCAAAGAACTGCCCAGGGACTTCCCGAGCTGGGTGTTGCAGCCGGGACTCCTGTGTTTAATAAGTGCTAAAACACCGAGAAGCCATTTATCCCTCTTTGAACTTGCTTATGGGTTTTGGCCTCCAAGGCACCCTGGGGCAATGACTTGCATAACGGGTGTTAAAAATAAATTGCTTTCCAGTCGTTTGGTTTAAAACTGCTGTCTGATCACTTCTGGGGGTGCATCATCGTCCCCTTGGGGCCACGAAAAAAATTATTCCACAGTTACTGCTCCAGCCTTGGGTTTGCATGGTCACCTCCTCTCCACACCACTGCTCCTCAGCTTCTGTCTTCCCAAACCTGGAGGGAGGGAGCCAGAGAATCACAGCGTGGTTTGGGTTGGAGGGACATTTAAAATTCATCTTGTTCCATCCCCTGGCACGGGCAGGGACACCTTCCACTAGCCCAGGTTGCTCCAAACTGGCCTTGGACACTTCCAGGGATGGGGCAGTCACAGCTCCTCTGGGCAACCTGTGCCAGGGCCTGCCCACCCTCACAGTCAACAACTCCTTCCCAGTATCCCATCTCTCCCTGCCCTCTGGCAGTGGGAAGCCATTCCCTGTGTCCTATCCCTCCATCCCTTGTCCCCAGTCCCTCTCCAGCTCTCCTGGAGCCCCTTTAGGCCCTGCAAGGGGCTCTCAGGTCTCCCTGGATCCTTCTCTTCTCCAGGGGAACCCCCCCAGCTCTCCCAGCCTGTCCCAGAGCAGAGGGGCTCCAGCCCTGGGAGCAGCTCCGGTGCCTCCTCTGGACTCTCTCCAGCAGCTCCAGGTCCTTGTGATGTTATTCCTAGGGCTGGAGCAGCTCTGCAGGGGGGTCTCACCTGAGGGGGAAGAGGGGCAGAATCCCCCCCTCCCCTGCTGTGGGATCAGCCCAGGGCACGGGGGGGGGGGATTTCAGGGCTGGGTCATGTCCAG